GTATTCGGGTTTAGGTATACTTAATAATTTTTATTTGCTAAAATTAATTCGCTTACGTTAAAAAGTATGATTATTACCGCGACAATATTATAACTTTTTCTATTATTATTTATTATTTTTATCATAACTTTAAATCGTCCTTTCAAAATAAATTATATTTTAAAAACTGTATTGAAATGCGCTTAGCATTCTATTTAATGAATGCATTGTTACGAATCATATTATCGTAATGCTTATATAATATTTTACTACTATACTAAATTATGCGTCGAAATAATATAAATACTCGTACCGTAGATATAAATTACTTCTATTTCAACTCAATTCAATTCAATTCAACTCTTACAATATTCTTTCAATTCGATTAGTACATTTGATATGCCTTCGCATGCTTCATTCATCGTTATTATAGTTACGAAAGAAAATTACACTTCTCTAACTCAGTGTCTTGCAAAGTATCAGATAGAGGAAAATGAGTTTAGAATCGTTCATTAGAAATACTTTTATCCTTATAATCAACCTTATACTGAATTTTCTGCTGGAGATATAGTAATGTTCACTGGTAAATTTGTTGTAGAAAATCTTGACCAGTATATTACTGTTTCCTACCCCTATATCATTGCGACCGGTGATTCTGAACGAGCGTTTGCAGCAAATGAAATCCCACTTAGCGCTCCTCACTGCATGTTCACAATTCAAGTAACTCGCGATCCAAAAGAATTAGAGAGTTCTACATACTTCGACGCTACGAATTCTCAATATAACTCAGTTACGAACTCAAAGAATGTTCTTATGAAATTAAGAGTATTTTACCCCACCAGTGCTCCTTGATTCTCCTTTCTGCGTTCTAACAGCATTAAAACGAACAAGACATATATTGTATCTGGTTTTATTAGGCGTGTAACCACTGATTTTACTATTATTGAGCTTACAGACATTGATTTTATATCTACCAATGTTAGCTCAGTCCAGTATGTGCAAGAGAGCACTTCCTCGAATACTTCAAATAATCGTTCGTTTATTGATTTAATCGCCGAGGACGTTGATTCCACTACCTCACAGCAATCAAAAAGAACCCATATAATAATGTCAAGATCTTCTAAACAAAGCACTGTCCCGCCTCCCATTGTCAATGAACCTGAAACCCCAATCACGACTCCTACTCCAGTTAATATTGGCCCTGAGACGTTTCAAAGCCAAAAAGGTAAAAAAAAATTATCTGATTTAGCC